GGCCCACCTTTTGTGTGACTCTTTTTTGCATATTGGTCTTGTGAAAATTTGGTTTTTGATGCCTTATCTTGTGTTTTCGATTTGCATCGAGTGAATGATTAAGCTTATGGATCATTTTTTTAATTACAAATTATTTTGACCCCTTCGAAATTTTTGACACCTCTTTTTTTTACGAATGTGGTTGTTTTCTTGAAAATATGATATCAATTTTTATTTATACCAATGATTCAAATATTTCTCTCAATCAAACAAACATGAATATGTGTCTATAGTGATATCAAATGAAGTTGCATGCATAACACGTGACCTCTTTGCATCTCGTTGTGACTAGAGAATTATTAAATTGAGTCTCTTGTAATGCACATTGAAAACTTGCGAAAGTGTGGAGTCTTTTTAAATGTTAGTGTAAGTCCGTGACGAACTTATTGTGACCCATGTACATGACGCCTAGTATTTTCCCCATTGGTCCTATTGACTAACTCATACAACCTCTTGATATGATCTTAGGCAATTTTTAAAAAGTGTGAAACAAATCGACATATACCACTTTTGTGACAAACCTTGTAAGCGTGTGATACTTGCTTGTACACCAATTTCACCATAACCGTTTCATGGAATAAACTAGATGAAACTATGACCCTTCTTTATCCATTACAAATAATTCCCATGAAGTTGTTGTTAGGTTAAATAGGCAACTTAGGCCAAAACCCTGAGTTGGGGTTGTGGTGAGAAGAGAAGATACATTTACAAGTGCACAAAAACCCTTTGACCATGGTTTTCTGAAAACACATAACCCCTCCATACAAAAAAACAAAAATAGGAAAATACAATAAAAAGGAATTGAACAAAAAAGTTGTGGAATGAAGATGTGAATGTGAAAAAGTAACAAGGGTTTTAAACAGTCCATGGAAGCGGTATAATGGGATGACTTGTGAGCACGAATTGAAATGATGATGAACATAAAGTTTTGTTCACACCATATTTCATGAGGATAACATGTTACTGAGCCTAAATGACCGAACAGTTACACTTATCCCCGTTAGAAGACTTTAAAAGATCTTTGTAATCTTAAATGAGCTGAAGCAATTGTTTGGTTGAAAATAAGGACAAACTTATGGGTGAGATTATGCATCTGTTCATCATTTTGAGTGTGAGCGTTTACATTTATTCCAAAGCTTTAAATTGATGAACCATTATGTGTGAAGGTAGAATCATTCTTTGTGTAAGAGCATTTAAACAATCTTCTATTAATCTTGAACTTGCATTTGAAGAAATTATAGTGAGCTTGAGATTCTTTAGTAATGGTAAGTCATAACTTGAAATCTTTGAGTTTTCACAATGAATCTTTGACAGAGTATGTCGAGTTCTTGTTGTGTGTGTTTATTATTGAGACTTCTGTAGCATTGTTTGAGACATCTTTTTTGAACTACTGAACTCGCATTTTACTTGAGGACAAGCAAATTTTTAATTTGAGGGTGCTGATGAAACCACAATTCGGACATTACTTTAACAACTAAGTGTCACAATTGCCCCTGAATTAATTGAAATAGACCATTTATACCCTTCGTTACATTTGGAATAAAAATGCCCCTGTTGTTATCCTAAGAGACCACAAATATCCTCAAGAGTTAACACCTCAAAATTTATTGACATGGTAAGCAATATGGGACTAATCCTTCCAGCTATGTGTTGCTAACAAGTATACCTTTAGTAGTGACAACACACGCCACAAAAGTCCAGAAAAGCGTCACTAAAATTTATCAACATTAAAATCTAATTTTGTGTTTTTCTCATTGGTTTTAAAAAGTCAAAAATAATATCAATTAAGTAGGAGTTTTAAGACATTATATGTTCCATTTTATGTCATATATAAATTATAAAATATATAATGGTGCATTATATAATAGCAGATTTAAATTGAAAAGTAGTTTTTATTATTTTTCGTAATAGTATTAGATGTTTTTCATATTGATATTGTAAGTTATTTATTTATAAAATTAGGTTTCAATCGAAAATTAATTACCATTTTTCTTTTACAAAAAAAATAGGTTTTACTAGCGCATGGTTGTTGGAGCTTTAGTCGCCACTAAGAATGACTAATTACCTTCAGTGGCAATATTTTGGGATTTTGTGGCGACTATGTCGCCAATAAAGGTCAAGTTCTTTTGTACTGAATCTTAGTTGGCAACGCTTAGGTGGAGGGATTATTCTCATGTGGCTTGCTCCATTACTAGAATAATTGGGGTGTTAACTCTTGAGGGTATTTGTGGTCCCCTGGGACAATAGCTGGGGTATTTTTGATCCCAAAATGTAATGAAAGGTACAAGTGGTCTATTCATATAGTTTAGTTACAATTTTGACCCTTTTTCGTTATTTTAATAGAACTAGTTTCCTAAAATGCATATTTTGTGACTTTAACTATTATAAATTCTTGATTTTCAAGTATTTGAATTAACGAATAAATCATGGATAATAAAGAGCAAAAAGTAACAACGCAGCTGAAAGAATCTAGAAAAGAAGGCATGAGGATCACCTAAACGATTAGGCAAGGAGCCGAATGGCCTTGGTCTCACCTTATTTTCTAGTGTGCCAAGTCTTGAAGGAGAAAATCCAATCAACGATCGGAACAAGTAGTCAGCTATTCGTCGAACAATTTTGCAATGTAGTGCCTTATCGCCCAAAGTTATGAAACTTGCATATGCAAAAGGCCAATAAAAAACAACGATGAGAATCACGAAAGGGTGGATTGCCTAGTGGATCAGCGATCCTAGCTTATTGCGTCGACCTATTCTTCACAGAAAATTGTTTGCGACTATAAATATGTTTTCAAATTCATAGTTTACTATCTAGCTAGCAAACAATCAATCTAGTATTGAGAGAAACATCACTACAATAAAATGTATTTATAGCTACAGAATCTAAGCTACCAATCTAAAACTCGTAGCTCTTATTTAGTAATAGCCACAAAAATTCAAATTTTGTGGCTATCTCAAAATTCATCAAATTTCTTATCTACGAAAATTAAATTAAAAAAGCTAAAATCTAATTTTTGCTATAATTATGAATAGTTGTGGCAATAATTACTTAAATAGCTATAATATTACTGCTACGATAAAATCATGTAGCTAAATATAAATTTTTGCCACACGATTATTGTAATTGTTGCAATAGTGAATCACTAGCCACAATAAGTTATTCGAGACAAAATATTGTAGCTAATAAATATAATTTCTTCGAGTTATAAAAAATTATGGCAATATTTAAACGAAGAAGCCACAAATATTTTGTTACAATAAAAATTCATAGTAAATTGTTAATTTTTACCAGGAGTTTAAATTTACAATAATGATAACAACCTATTAGCCATCATAAGTCATTGGAAGAAATATCTGTAGCTAAATAAATAATTTTTCTTTAAACTTATAAACATTGTGTCAATAAATAAATGAAATAGCCATAATTGTTTTGTCAAAATAATTTTTTATAACTAATTGTTAATATTTACCACGGATGTGAAATTGCCATAGTATTAATATATTTTAAGAGAAAAGACATAAAGACACCATCGAAGTTGTCCCATATTTGCATAAAGACACCTAAACTTTTGAAGTGTCCTATCACACCACTAAACAACTATATATCGTTGTAAATTGGCGATTTTTACCCATTAACTCATCTGGGTTGTTTACACGCACGTTAGGCGCGTCATGGGACATTTTTCCTTTTTATTTACTAGTTTGAAACAGCCACATGTCATTTTCATTCTTTAATATTAATTATTTAATCAATTTTTGTATCTTCCCCAATTTAAACTCAAAAATAGCTGTTGGTAGCCCTAAAATTTTGATATCCATGGCAAGAACAATATTGGTGCTCTCTTTTTCATGACTTCATATCTTCCTCAAGAAAATAAGGTAGGAATTCGTCTTTTCTTTTTAATTTCCAGTAGAAACGTTAATTTGAAGTTTTTTTATGGTTGAATTTCTTCTCAATTTTGTGGTTAGTTTTTGATTGAAAATGTCAAATGCAATGTTGAATCATATTTGTAATGATGAGAATGATACGATGTTGCGAGTGAAACTGCGATGCAAACATGGTGACTTACTATAAATGCAAACTTCATGGTCGGAGCATAACCCATCTCGAAGATTTTGCTCTTGTCCATGCTATCGTGTATGTTTACTAATTTTTTTATGGAGATCTTTTGTTTATGTGTTTTCTTTAATTTGTGTTTTGTGTATTTTAGGAGGATGCGTGCAACTTCTTTACATGGAGGGATCGAGAAAAAGTTGATATAAGATCCAAGTATGTTATTCCGAGATTAGCAAAGAGAATTAAGGAGTTGGAAGAAATATTGACATCTTCTGAAAGTCGTGTTGAAAGTAACCAAGTCCTGATGAAGGAGAAAAAGAAGGGCAAATGTTGTAACTTGAAGCTAATCGTCTTGATCATTATTGTGTGTTTTCTATGTTTAAGTCTAACCAAGAATGTGAAGGATGGAAGTTGTAGGTGTGTGCAACCGAAATTGCCATAGACATGTTTAGTTACTTTCAAATTTTTGAAATTGTAGGTGTGTGTACCTAGAAGCTAATTGTCTTGATCTTGCTAGTTGTAGGTGTGTGTAACTTGAACGATTGTTGAATGTTCAAGTTATTGTTGTTCTTTGTTGTCGAAATTGTTATGATTTTAACAATTAGTTAATGTATTTGGTTCTCTAATCTATATTATCGTGGCAACCAATTGAGAAGCTTCACAAATATGTCAATTACAATTAAAAAGGCAATAACAAAATTGACAAAAAAGAAGACTTCATAATCGAGTTTGATTCCAACCATTCAAGTTTGTTTGGTTACACCCAAAATTGAGTTTGTTTCCAATAAAAAACAACACAAATATATGCTTAGTTAAATTTTGTTTGTCAAAATGAACAAGACAACATCAAAATGCTCTACTTCCATGGCACAAAAGTTTTTCTACTTGAAGTTGTTTGGCCTTGGCTATTAGCAGGCATTAGCAGTAGCTACAGACCTAGTTTGGATAACCTTTTCAGCCCTCATTCTTTCCGGGTTGATACTTGTAACAGTTGTCTTCCCCTTCCATTTGAATCCACGTACTGGTGTGTAGCCAATATCACCTGTGACAACATCAGCCCTCTTTGTATTTTTTGTACCAGTATTGATGACTCTTCTACTTGGCAATCCAGGTTGCTTAGTCAAATAAATACACACTCAAATATTAGACAATTAGGTTTGCAATCACAATTGTAAACTTGCATTGATAGTTGTAAACTTACATTGAGAGTTGTAAATCCATCTTTAGCTTGGTATATGCCAACACCTACCATTCTTGGCCTTTTAAAAGGTCTTGTTTGTCCTCCACTAGTGTCTTCATGTTCTACTGGTCTCTTCCCTCTTCCTAGGCCTCCTCTACTGTAGTTTGCTTTGAACTAGTTTGACTATGTTGAGTCATTCCTCTTCCTCTACTTAGTCCTTCATTCACATTTCTTTCTTGAGCCATTTCTCTTCCCGATCATGCTCCTCTACCTGTACCTCTACCTCTACCTCTACCATTTAAAGTCTGAACTTTGAAATCAAATATTAAAGCATATCTATATTATCTAACAATGATATAATAATTAGATATATTACCTCTTTGTTTGTAACATTTTCATGTGATTGAGCTGGAACACCTCTGCCACTTGCTCTTCCTCTTGTTGCTCTTCCTGTGCCTTTTCCTCTACCACTTTCAGTAGACTGTATATTAATATATCAATATATATACATCAACATATAACATACATTTGAGAGTAACAAATAAAAGTACCTGTGTATGAGAAGATGGTTCAGATGACTAACTTGGACCTGTACTTCTTGCCTGAGAAACTGGTTCAGTTGATTGACTTGGATCAGCTTGGTTTCTTGTAGGACATCCTCTTTTATTGTGTCCTTGTGTGCCACATTTGCTACAAGTCATTATAGCACCTCTTTTGCTCAAATTTCCAGTTTTTCTACTTTCATCTGCTTCATTTCTTCTAACCATAACTGGTCTTCTAGGCAACTTTCTGATCTTTGGTGGCTTTACAATTGGATTATTTGAGGCTGACCACATTTTCATGTTATTCATTGGCTGAATAAAATGGTCATATGTGCTGAGGTAGGTTTCCTTGCTATAACAGCTAGCTACATAATGGATTGGTTCCAAGTTTTTGTAATGAAGGGCAGCAACACCGTGAGGACAAGGAATTCCCCTAAACTGCCACCCATTGTGTTTAATCTCAAAACCTCTTTGTCCATTCCAAGTCAAGTTATATTGCATAGACTTTTGAATGTTTTCTTGCAAAATCTTCAAAGACATAGGAGATATATCAGTGATCCAAGTGTTTGAAAACTCTCGCAAATCACCAATTCTTTTCATCATCTTCACCCTTATCTTCTCAAGCATTGTAAGGATGGTTTTATACCTTGCAGACACTGTCCAAGCATTAAAGCTTTCTGCCATATTGTTGTCCACAACATCACATTTTCTATATTCTTCAAAATATTTCTTGCACCATGTATTCAAATTGTACCATAAAAAATTATCTAAACCAGCGTGACCTAATTTCCTCATTATCTCTATATTGTCCTTCATCTCAGCTTCAAATTTGGATTTAGCAATCCTCAAAAACACTCTTTTTCTTTCAACTCCTTTCCAATTTTTTGACCAATTTGCAAGAACATGTCTTGCACATTTTCTATGTTCAACAAGTGGCAATAAAGTATCCACAGCAATTTCTAGTCCCTAACAAACCAACATAACAGAAAAAGAATGAATTAAAGTGCAAAACTCAACAACAATAAAATAGTAAGATGGATATAAGTAATTACCTTTTGCATATCACTACCGATGGATAGTTGATGCCCTTCTCCAAGTTCAAGATCATTCTTCACTAGTTCAAGAAACCATGTCCAGGTATACTGATTCTCAACCTCAACAACTGCCCAAGCAATAGGGAGCATTTGGTTGTTTCCATCTCTACAAACTGCCACTAACAACTGGCCTTTACACACACCTTTGAGAAAACACCCATCAAAACCAATCAACCTTCTAGCACCTCCAAAAAATGCTTTCTTTAAAGCATTGAAGCAAACATAAAATCCTTCAAAAAATTTCTGCCCAGTTTCAGAATCTTCTCCAACCTTAACTACACAAGTACTACCTGGATTACTCCTTAATACTTCATCTCTATAATTAAAAATCCTACCATACTCCACAATGTGATCACCCATGATCTCTTGTAACACTCTAGTCCTAGTTCTTCTCACTGTTGTCCTACCAACATTAATATCCAACTCCATTCTAATAATGTCCTGCAACAAGACAACGCTGATGTTTGGCTGTTGAGTTATTCATTCTTTGTATTTGGTGGCCAAAAACTTTGAGTTGCATAGGTAGTTATGAGTTGATGTCAAACATTTATGGATAGGGTTGTATGTTTTAACAATGAAATCTCCACTAGTTTTATCCTTACTTGCACACAACAACCAAGGACAACTCTCTTTACACCATCTCACTCTAACTCTGCCAGGCTCATTTACATATTTTTCAATTTGAATATATTCTTGGATTGCATATCTTGTCACTGCCACTCTTAATTCTTCAACAGTTCCAAAAACAAGTCCTAATTCCCAAACAATCTTTTCAGCAGTTGTATCAAACACAACTCTATTTGGGGTTTTCTTCCTCCTACCAGGTTTATGCACTACTTGATCAACCTCTTCACCATCTATTTCAAAGCTAGGAACTTCTTCACTTAGATAATAAGGTTCATCACCTCCTAGCGTACCCTATATCTGGACCTTTCTCATTAACATTAATCTGATCTTAAGTAGTTCCCCTACTTCTCCTTTGTGACCTTTTGAAATGCCTCTTGGTTGCCCTTATATCTACATACTCTTGATGAACATCACTTTCAACCTCAGTATCTTGATCCTGATTCATCTTCCACTTCATCATCAATTGGATCATCGTCTATTATAGGATAATCAGATGAAGGAGGAGGCATAATAGAAGGAGATGGTGGAGGCACAGTATAAGTCTGAGCTTCAAATGGAGTACTGGAAGTTTCAAAAGGACCAGTTGTAGGGATGGAAGGAAAAGTAGAACTAGGAGGCTGATTATTAGGGTTAGAAGTCTCATTAAAAGATTCCTCACCTACCCCACTTTCAGTCACATAGGGGACAAACTCCAATTCAAGTGGGACCTGATTAGCTTCATAACCCCATGAAAAACATACACCTTCATTGTATCCCCATCATTCACCATATTGAAAAGGTCAAATATAACCTTCTCATTATCAATAAGGACAAATAACCCACCCCACTTGATGAAAAAATCACAATCTATTGTATATCCTAGTTCTTTTATGTAGTCCCTCAACTCAAAATAAGACATCCTATCAACATCTACATCTAAGAATTCTGTCACATGCCCCCCAATATATTGAGGTGGTGGACCAAAATCTATTTCCCCCCCCATGATACCATCTTAACGTTATAAGAGTAAAAGTCATCCTGAAAAATCATGTAACAACAACAAACACAATTCAAACACACATTTCAATAACTAACTCTAACAAGTTGTACACAACAAACATAATCACTAACAAACAACAACAGCAGAAACACTAACTAACAAAAGTAGAATAAAGCACTAACATTAATCTTTAATAGTACAAACAGAACAAAAACACTAACAATAGCAGTTGTTAGTATACAAATTGAAGTCTACAAATGTATAAGAGACAAATATTATGATTCAAACTAAGTGGATAACATCTAACCCTAACCTAAAAAAAATCACAAAACCCTAATCACTAACAGTTGCACTAAGTCAATAACACAATACCCTACACTAACTAAGTCGATTACCCAACATACTCTAAAATATCCTAACAATGGCAACTGTAGGAGGTCGATTCTAACACTTCTACACTATAATAATCCATAAAATCAAAATAATCGGAAAAAAAGTGCAGATTTTAGAACCCTAACCTGTTAGACCTTCAATTTCCAAGTATCTTCACAAATACACATCAACAACGATCAACAATGATCAACAACGAGAATGTCAACAACAATACTATCGTCAACAACAAGAATACAGTGTATTTCTTTTGATTTTTTAGGGAATAGTTGAGAAATGAAATGAAAAGGAGTTCACGAATTTTCTTCAAAAAAAAGGGTCGGCTCGGGTTACCTAGAGAGTGAGCAACATGTGCATTACATAGACGATGGAATGACTAAAAATGGCCAATTTACAACGATATATAGTTGTTTAGTGGTGTGATACGACACTTCAAAAGGTTAGGTGTCTTTATGCAAATATGGGACAACTTCGATGGTGTCTTTATGTCTTTTATCTATATTTTAACCACCATAAACTATTTGAAAAAAAATTAATAACAGAATAGATATTTTTTCAACTTATAAAATTTATGGCATATTAAAAGATACCATCATTGATTTTTTTCTATGATTAAATTTATAATTAATATATTTTTCCACCTTTACGTTTAAACTAGTTGGAGCAAATAAAATACAATTTAAAAATAAAATATTATAGCTAAATAAATTTATTTTGAGTATAAAAAATATGACAATAATTAACTTAGTAATTATAATTATATATCGTTAAAAATACTATAAAGATGAGTGATATACCGTGGTTTCACGATATTATTAATACTTTTTCCTTAAGTTTAGTGTGTCCAAAAACCTTTTTGTGCTAATTTTTATATAAGTTTCTCTTTATTTTGCAAGAAATCTTTCCAAAGATGAATGCATAGATTTTGAGCGAAGAAATGCAGAAGAGACCACCTACGGAGCTTATGACGGTCCGTCGTGCTTGTGACGGTCCGTAGGTGGCAGCGTAGTGCAGCTACTAAAGGAAGATGGGGAAGTCTGACCAAGTGTGGGGCTACGGAGTTCATGACGGTCCGTTCTGCAGGTTCGTCATGAAGTTCAGAGAAGTAGTCCCAGTACCCCTATTCCAAGAGTTCAAATGTTTTGAAACAAAGACCCTCGACGGACCGTTGTGCCTATGGCGGTCCGCCATACCTGCCATCGAGGGTAATAAAGAGAGCAGCAGAAGAAATTGCATAAGTGTGGGATGACTGAGTCCATGACGGTCCGTCATGACCACGACGATCCGTCGCGAGTTCCGTTGACCCAGCCGCGTTTTGACAGATTTCCAGCAAATAGAGTCCTTGTTTAATTAGGTTTTTATTTTCTATAAATAGTTGAAAAACCTTGTTTTTGAGGTTAGACTGTGGATCATTGTTAGACTCTTTGTATTAGTGTTAGATTTAGGATTATCATTAGACTTTTTTGTGAGATTATTGATTACTTTGAGATTCTTGCAAGTGATTATTGGTGATTAATCAAGCAAACTTTCGGATTTTACTCTTTCTCATTGAAGTAAGTACATGAATTCTTATTTAATATATTTGAATATTGTGATTATGACTATGAGTAACTAAACTCCATAACTAGGGTTGTGGGAACCATAGGCAAATAATGAGATAAAACCTAACTAAAATAACAATTCTAGAATAGTGTCTTGCATGTATTAATAATTCTTTCGCTTAGAAGTCTTTTAACGAATGACCAATGTTAGAACTCGCCTTAATGCTACTTGCCGGACTAAGGAGGTAGATAATAGGAAAAGAATTATCAACATAGATTTTGTGTATACTATCTAATAGGCTAGTATTGATTGGTACAAGGTAATAACTTAGTCAAATATCAAATATGATGCTTAATATGAGGTAAAGATAAGGGTTAGGATAGCAACACACGTAGCCGGACCAAGTTGCGGAGTGATATTTTCTAGATGCCGGACCAAGGATTTAGAAATACATAACTTATCACTTTGCATGCAAGATACTAGGAAAGAATTATTAAAGTTAGAATTATCAAGTTATGACCCTGTGGGGAACACGAAAACCCTAGCTACTTTGATTAATTGATTAAAATCCAACATTCAAAGCTGTTAAGTGTCTCTTTCAATTTAGGTAGTTATTTTCATTCATTTAGAAATAGAAACCCCCTTTTTTCTGTTTTTACTTTCCAAGGAAGTAATTGACTAAACAAAAGTAATAATAGATTGAAGTTAAGTCTAGACTATTTTCCTCGTGGGAACGATCCCAACCTCACTAGTTGGTTTATTTACTTGACACGACCGCTTTACTTTTTATTTGAGAAGTAAGTTTGAGCGTACCAAATTTTGGCGTCGTTGCCGGGGAATATAGCTTTTAGATTAACTTGAACTTATTACTATAGTTTAGTTGATATTTTCTTTATTTTACTTTATTTTATTGTTTTTGATTTTCTTTTGAACTATCCTCCTTGTATGCCAAATACACGGAGAGAAAGAGAACCCTTGTTTCCCTACGATCACGAATTAGAGCGTACACTACGCAATATGAATCGAAACTTGGGAATCAATGATGATGATCCAAACCAGAACATCCCAGCTTTGGCTGATGTTCATGGTCAGTTATTACCCGATGCTCTGGGTGAACACCAACAGAGGGGACAAAATCCCGCTCCACGGCCCCAAGCATACTACAGAAGATATGATAACATAGCAGACTCCGATTGGCCACTTGTTTTGCCTCCTCTACCCACATGCCATACCTTTTTGGTAACTAGTAGCCTGATGCAAATGCTCATCGCTAGAGGTTTGTTTTCAGGGCTACCTTCTGAGGATCCACATGCCCATATTGCTAAGGTAAGGGTAGTGTGTAATAGCTGTGTAGGGAGGCCTGACTTGGACTTAGATGTAATAGGGCTCAGAGTGTTTCCTCTCTCACTGACGGGAGAGGCTGCTATATGTTTCACTGAGCTCCCATACAATTGAATCTTCACTTGGAACAAACTGAGGGATGTTTTCTTAGCACGCTACTGTACGATCTCCAAGAAACTTAACAACAAAGACAGAGTGAATAACTTTTTGGCACTACCATGAGAGTCAGTTAGTAGTTCTTGGGATAGATTCACCTCATTCTTAAGAAGTTTTCCAAATCACCGTATAGATAATAAGTCACTGAAGGAATACTTCTAACAGGGACATGATGATAATAATAAAGCGGTGTTGGAAACTATAGCAGGTGGATCTTATGGGGAGTGTCCTTATGCTGAGATTGCTGAAAAAATTAGAGAAAATATCCCAGAACAATAAATCTAGGAGTACTAGGAAGTCCAATACCGGGAGAAACACCTTCGCAGTGCAATCCGCTCACAACCCAGCCACAGATGAGATTCGTGAAGAAATGGCTCAGATGAGAACTGAGCTT